TTTTTTTTTCCTATGGACTTATTGTTTAAAACGAAAAATAGTGAGAAAAATCCTAAAGTTTGACGAATTCAAACCCCTCTCAATTTTTAATAGTTACTATAATTTCATTTTTATCAGACTCCGGCGAATGGATTTCCACACTCGATGACGCCGTAAATAAAAATGCCACATTATTCATGAACAAAATCCAAACTTACAGAAAAACATATCCAAACCTATCTACTGAATCCAAACAACAAATATTAGCTTAAACTAAAGTTATTTTCAATCTATATTATAATGATACACTTTCAAGGCTCCTAAAGCTGTCCACGTCAGCAAGTTTGTGGGTCCCGCACATTTAAATTTTAAAAGCTTAGAGTTTGTTTAAAATGAATATGAACAATGAATATACTTTAGCCCAGTGGTATAAGACATCTAATGAAGTCCACAAGTGTGCGGGTTCAAACCGCGTAGCTGTTATGTATTTTAGTTTTTTTTGTTTGAATTATTATCATATGGTTTTTTAGTTTTAATGTTTTAATGTAGGCCTGGGCATTTTCCGGTTCGGATCGGGTTCGGGTCGGGTTATGTCAGGTCCGGGTCCTTCGGGTCTTAGATATTTAGACCCAATAGGGTAATTAGACTTTGTCGGTTCGGGTTCGGTTCGGGTCTTACCGGGTCCAGGTCGGTTCGGGTCTTATATAGTTAGACCCAATGGGGTAATTAAAATTTATTGGTTCGGATTCGGTTCGGTTTCGGGTCGGATTCGGTTCGGGTCCTACCGGGTATGGCCCAAAAACATACCTAAAACACACAAAAAATACTGGAAAATATTTAAATACCCAAGAAATACCCAAAATTTTACACAAAACCTAATCCGAATACATAAAAATATCCAAAATTTTATCTGATTATTCGAATTATATTTTAAAAAAACCTAAAATTTTACTTAAAACCCGTAATTATATCCGAAAACCTGAATCCAAAACATAAACTAATACTCATAATACCATAAAAATACTAAAACATATATATATATATATATATATATATACATAATATATACTAGATGTTTTGGATATTTCGGATACCCATCGGGTCTCGGATTCGGGTCGGTTCGAGTCCAAGACCCGCGGGTCCTCCACATCAAAACCCAATAGGGTAAAATGATCGGTTCGGTTCTTACCCGAATCGCACATTTTCGGCCCGATTCCGGGTCGGGTCTTCGGGTCCGGGTAAAATGCCCAGGCCTATTTTAATGTCTTTTTTCCTCTGGACTTATTGTTTAAAACGAAAAATAGTGAGAAAAAATCCTAAATTTTGACGAATTCAAACCCAAAAACAATTAAAAAATGATCAAAATACGAACAGTCCAAAAAACAAAAAAAACAAAATGAGTCCCACGTGGCACTATCATGTCTTAATATATATTTTCTGTTAAAACATATTTTCTAATATATATTTTCAAAAAATTATGTATGTGAAATAAAATAAAACAACAAAATTTAAGTATTTTTTATTTATAAAATAACTATGTAATTTCTCTCAATTTTTAATAGTTACTATAATTTCATTTTTATGAGACTCCGGCGAATGGATTTCCACACTCGATGACGCCGTAAATAAAAATGCCACATTATTCATGAACAACATCCAAACTTACAAAAAAACATATCCAAACCTATCTACTGAATCCAAACAACAAATATTAGCTTAAACTAAAGTTATTTTCAAATTGATAAATCGTTTAGTACAAATATAAATACTATAAATAGATAATTATATCAAGTTTTGACTTCCGATATAAAAACTGTTTCCAACATAAAAACATAAAAAAACAATATAGACACTTATTATTATACACTATAAACTATATTATAATTTAGCTATTCCTATAAATCTTACTTCGCATATAAACAACATTTAACACATTATATATATATATAATATTTTCACTTTACACTCTTGCTACATTATTTTCATTTCATCCCTAAAAATAAAACGAGTCTCACGCGGCACTATCATGTCCTAATATATATATTTATGTTAGAACATATTTTATAATATATATTTTCAAAACATTAAGTATGTGAAATAAAATAAGACAACAAAATTAAGTATTTTTTGTTATCTATAAAATAACTATGTAGTTTCTCTTCAATTTTTAATAGTTACTATAATTTCATTTTTATCAGACTCCGGCGAATGGATTTCCACAGTCGATGACGCCGTAAATAAAAATGTCATATTATTCATAAACAAAATCCAAACTTACAAAAAAACATATCCAAACCTATCTGTTGAAACCCAAACAACAAATATTAGCTTAAAATAAAGTTATTTTCAAATTGATAAATCGTTTAGTATAAATATAAATACTATAAATAAATAGTTATATCAAGTTTTGACCTCTGATATAAAAAATATTTCCAATATAAAAAATAAAAAACAAGATAGACACCTATTATTATACACTAGAAACTATATTATAATTTTGTTATTCCTATAAACCTTACTTCACATATAAATAACATTTAACACATTATATATATAATATTTTCACTTTATACTCTTGCTACATTCTTTCCATTTCATCATTATTTGGTATTATTAGAATAATCCACTAAACCAACAACCGAAAATAACACAGATAAACATCAATGATCCTCAGCCCCGCGCTTGCGCGGGGGGTATGCAACTAGTGTATATAGTTAGTTGACGGGAAAATATCATTGTTAATAGTTGCTTAAATAGTACACGGTTTAAATTTGCAAAAGAAAATGAACTAAATCATAGAAAGATGTGCTGTAACTTGCACAAGTTGGTTTAAGTACTGAAACAAATTCCAGATTGTTACTCGTGACGAATTTCTTCGTCGTCACTATGGAGAGAAACAAAAAATAATAATCTGTAGAATATTTTATACAATAAAGTAGGCTTTTCTCCTTTCTCATGCATCCACATCAGCATTTGTGAGGGGGGCAAAGAAAACCATGTCATCAATAACCTAAACCAAATAAACCGAACAAAATTTATCTCTCCCCCATTTCGGTTTCAATTGATTTTCTGTTTGTCGATTTTGTGGTTATTGTTGGGCTGGCTATTTTATGTGGTAGAGGCCCAAATTTTTTTTAAGTTTTTGTTGTTAAAACGGAAACACAGCAAATAATGACATAAATCATTTATAATACCAAAATTAAAGCAATTTGAAGTTTTTTTGCATTCAATACCACGTTACAAACACATTTATTTAGATATTTCAGATAATGATAATAAATACCTAAAAAGGTAAATCAAACCCTCAAAATAATTTTAAAAATTATTCCACAAATCTATGGCGTTTGCAACAAATACAAACTTATCTAATGTCAAGCTAGCAAACCAAAAAAAGTTTATTCGATACCCACATATAAATTACTTTTCAAATTATATTATAAATATTAAAACCAAGCAAAATTATAAGGAACTCCGATCGGTTAATTTTTAATAACCATAAATTACACATCAAACCACTCAGCATACATGCAACGGTACAACATAAATAATAACAATCAAACCGCAAAGAAATTCAACGCAAAATTATGGCTTCCAATAATTATATTTAAAAACGTAAACGACGTTACAATCAACACCGTGTTCAACATCCTATATAAACAAATGCACAACACAAATAAACTAATAAGGACATCGTTAGAACAAAAAAAAAACCTCGATCATTTTCCGATGAGTTTCATGAATCAAAAACAACATAATACCCTCACCCTTGAATTCATGCCCGAAGACATGCGTCTCCTAATTGTTTCCAAAGTAGGCTATGATTCCCCCACCGACTACTTCAACACAATTATGACATCCAAAAGCCTCAGTTTCAGTTCTGAGAACTTCTTTGTTGCAAAGAATCTCAACCTCTCACCTTTGGTGAAGAAGCTTGCTCTAGCTCATCGGTAACAAAAGTTGGTGAAAAACTTCCTCAACGCGAACAATGTTGACGCTCACTATGTTAAAGGCATGCTAGAATTCTTCGAAACTCGAAATTAGTCCCTAGGTCTACATCACATCCACATTGCCTCAAATGGTGGTCACCTCCGAGGAAGGTACGTTTACGGCGTCCTCCTTATGGCCATCAACGAAACTGACTTAGGGGCTAAAAACATTAACAAACTCACTGATGAGCAAGGTATTCCAGTACTAGAAGATTGTACGACGATTTTTCATCAATCTCTTGAGCACCTCCAATTTCACATCAAGGATATATGTCTTACCTCACTAAAGAAGATGTGGCCACCCCAGAACTGCCATCCTCAACAGGGGACGGAGATCACGGTTTACTCCAACTGTTTCCACTTCCTTTTGGTAACAAAGTTCTACAAAAGGATAATGGGCTTCAGTGATCACCTTAACTAAAAGAAGGCCTATACGGGAAGCGTGCTTACCGTTAACATGATGACGTACTCCTTACACTTTTGATTTATTTGTTTTGTTTCTCAGTGTAAGTTGAACATTTATGTTCCTCTTCAATTCCTTCCAAAGGTTCTGTTTAATTTTCCTTTTAAAATAAATTGTTAGACTTTGTTTTCAAATAAATTCTTATGAAAAATATTCTCATAGCTATTATCTCTGATCCTGAAAAAAATAAAATTTGTGAAACAAAAAAATAACATCTATGACTCAAGAATTTAAAAAAATTTCCAAATGTCCACCATTTAACTCTAATGTCATCACATTGATATCATAATAGATCATTCTCATAAACAAAACACAATAAAAATATTACATTACAAACCAAGAAATAATTTATTTTAAATAATACAAATATCCGATAACCCGCGCGCAGCGCGGACGGACCACTAGTATAAATATATTATGAAAAAATAGAGAAATTGCACTCTACACATTAACTCTTTGTTGTATTTAGTGATATACACATTTTGTATTTTCGAGGAGTTTGTCCAATTTTTGTTTGACCAGTTTACCCCTATTACATTATTTGTTTTACTTTTTGCTTTTTCATTTTTTTTAGTTAACCAATTTTACACAAAATCAGAGTTCTCTCTCCTTTTCTTCGTTCTCTCATTACCATTTTCATGGAAAAGGAGATGAGATTCTGGGTTTTGACTCTGTAAAAAAATTTATGTAAGTGATCGATTTTCTCTTTGCTAGCGAATCTTTTTCTTTCGGTTTGCCCGATCTTTTTTTCTGTTGCAAAATAAAATCCAATTCAATTCAGATTTTTGTTGTGTCAAAAGCTTTCTCCTTCTTTGTTTCTTCAGAACTATGATGTGTGGTTTAGAAGTTCTTCTCTCTCTCTTCGTTAGCAAGTTTAGATTCTGGTTTTTGATTTTGTAAAACTAATTACTCAGATTCTCTCTGTTTACGATCTCTTTGAACTTTTGTTAGTCGTTTACGGTTTCGTGGTAATGATGGGTGAGTTACAGGAGACGGTGGATAAGACGGCACCGTGTGTGGCCATAACTGAAAAACGGCCAAATAGATTTAGCGGTTGTGTTGGCGTTTTCTTTCAGCTCTTCGATTGGAACCGACATTTCGTTAAAAAGAAAGCTCTTTTCTCGCAAATCACTTCTTCTTGGCTAGTGTTCGTCTCTGTCTCACTGTTTCACTTTATCTATGGTTGTGTCTGAAAATGAAAGAAATTCTTATTATTGCATTTTTTTTCTCAGGGAAACAAGCTTCTAAGAGGTTTAGTGGGAATGAGAAAATGCTCAAACCTAAGCTTAACCTGGTGATGATTATTTCCCCATTTTTTGTTAAAATATTAAAATCTTTAATTTGATTTTAAGTAGCAGTGAACTAAAATAGTTCATTTATGACTTTATGTTTTGAAGATTGATGATAAGTAATCTTCTTTGTTATGCATGCAGAAGGAAACACGTTTCACCGGACGCAAATCTCGATGGGGAAGCTTTGGTAAATTATCTCTGTTTTCTTGAATGGAGTACAGCTTATCTCTGGTATAATTATGCGATAGGATTATGAACTTATGCGTTGACTAAGTGAACCCCCAATATAAAAGATAGCATGCACCTGCAAAGTTTACAATATAGTTGAGTTATTTTGACAGTTAATATAATTTAAGGATGCTAAACACCCTTATTGCATGTTAATATTTTAAATTAGTATGATCTATTGTATGAATGTTTGTCAATCTCATCATTTTTACGGTCCAAAATGGTATCACAATTGTTTATGGTCCAAAATAAACCCATGACAGAAGAAAAAATTGTACGGCTAACTAATATGTCGATACATTCCCAGCCACAGCCACAGCAGAAGCAGTTCGATTTGCTGCAAAACGAAACTTTATATTTTACAAATTATATTATTAGACGGAAAGTATGCATAGCAAGAAAACTACTCTAGCCGGTTTGAATCACATTTTACAATGCTATTACCATTGTTAACATGTTTCGGTTCTTTTTAAATGATAATATAAATGTTTACTGTCCATTAAAAATGGAAAAATGACATAAGAAACTATTGCACGGCTAACTAACCAGTCAGAATTTCCATTAGTTCCTTCCAGCTTCTCATCATCATTATCTTTTAGTGGTATCATAATTGTTTACGGTCCAAAATAAACCCATGACATGACAACAACAAAAATTGTACGGCTAACTAAGCTGTCGATACATTGCTAGGCACATACACAACAACATCAGTTGGATTTTCTGTAAAACGAACTTTATATTTTACAATTTATATTATCAAATGGAAAGCATGCATAGCAAGAAAAGACAACTTTAGCCGGTTTGAATCAAATTTAACAATGCTATTACCCTTGTTTTAAATGTTCCAGTTCTTTCTAAATGATATCATAAATGTTTGTTGTCCAAAAAAGTTGGAAACATGATACAAGAAATTATTGCACGGCTAACTAACTACTCGGAATTTCCATTCGTGCTGTCCACCATCTCATCATCATCGTCAAGTTCAATAATTTCACTAACTGCTTTGTTTCCCATGTGTTCAACTTGCGACGAAATTGTTTTTTATACGTTGATTAAGCAATAACGTAAATATAAAAAACACTCATGTTCATCATAAGTTTCAGGTGAACCTACAAATAATTTTTTTTACGGCTGATAATGATTGAAGGAAAGTTAATGAAGTTGAAAAAATATGATACTAGACGAAATCACTATTTAATACTATCGGAAATAAATACCTCCAACAATTTTTTTGCATGCTGTGAAAGATCTTTTATTCAGATTCTCTTTTGCATGCGATTGTTTATGTCAGAAAAATCTTTTAGTTTATTGGACAATAATCTCGTAGGAAAGTAGATCCTAATGCCCCCCCCCAACTTATAATAAATACTGGTTTAACTTCATGCCTATAACAACCTACGATATATCCAAAGCAAGAGGACCAGTTTGGTCATTTATCATCTTCTGGTCTCAGTTCAAGCCCCCACAATATTTAAGGTATGGGTATTCACCTAATTACTATGTTCTTATGGGATTTACAATATTTAAGGTATGGGTATTCACCTAATTACTATGTTCTTATGGGATTTTGACGCAATTCACCCAAAATAATAATAGACATATAATACGAAAGCATGAAGTACCAAGTTGCAACAGCTACTTGATTGTATGCTTATGGTGATAACTGATATGGACCAACTTTTTTTTTTTTTTTTTTTTTTTTTTTTTTTTTTTTTTTT